GGGGGGGGGGGGGGGGGGGGGGGGGGGGGGGGGGGGGGGGGGGGCTGATAGGGATGAAGGGAGAGGGGACACAACGGACCCATTGCTGGCCCCCCCTCCCATACACACACCCCACCCCACCCCCCTTCATCGGCCCGGTCCCGCCGAGCCCTTGCCCATATATAGCCCCGGGGCTGCGGCTGCCCGCCCGCCTTGCTCCGACACCTTATAAGGGCTCGCGGCAGGACCGGGGGGGCAGCGGGCCCCCCCAGCATTCCCCCCCTGCTCCCGTTAACCCTTGAAGGGGGAGGGAGAGGGAGGGGACGGAGCGGCGCGGGCCTCCCCGAACCCCCCGACTTCGTTCCCAATGGGGAAACTGAGGCACAACTGCGAACCCCGACAGCACCACGGACAGCGCCGGGCGCCTCCTGTCGAACTGCGGGTTCGAAGCCCGCTTCCCCCAGGTGCGGTTCAGCCCGGTTAGGCCCGGTTCGGTTCTGCTTACCTTATTCTTCACTTCGGCCGACAGCCCGTAGGCCGGTCCGCGGTTGAAGTTCGCGTTCGACATCGGTTAAGTTCGGGGTTGGCCCGCGGCGGTTTCGTTTAGGTTCGGGTCCTGCTGGGCCCCGGCTCGGCTATGGCTGGGTTCGGCTCGGTTCGTCCGGTCCCGGTCCGGCGCCGCCGCCGCCACTTTTAAAAGTCGGCGGAGGGCGCGGAGCCCCCCCCGGCGCGAGGCAGCGGCAGCCAATGGGATTTCCTGGCCGTGCTGACGGCACCGCGGGGCGGGCGATGGCGTCATTTTTTCCACATTTAGCGGGGGGATCCCGAAGTGGGGGACACAGGGGGGTCTTTCCAAGCCCCCCCATACCTCCCCCGCTTTCTGCCGTCCTTCCCTCCATCCTTTCATCCCTACTCCTATGCATCGCTTTCTCCATCTCCCCCCGCTCCCTCTGACCCTCGCACTCGTTTTAGCCCGAACCCCCCCCCACCCCCCCCCTGGCGGTGCCGTCACCGCATCGGACTCCGTAGGGGGGTGGGAGGGGCGGTTCGTCACAGGCAGGGAATGCGCCCATGAGGGGGAGGGGGTTGTCCCGTCCGGGGAGCTGAAGGGTCTGCCGACATCCCTGCTTGTTCTATTGGAGCCTGGAGGAAACAGGGATCGGGGTCCGGCTGCCCCTCCCACGTCCTGAACTACCATTACCGTTTATAGCAGCGGCCGCAGCGCTGTTGTGGCGTCACCCTGTCCCTCATGATGTCACTGTCAGCTTCGGGCTGTGACGTCACCCCTCCCCCCCGGGTTATAGGTTATCTCCATCCCCGCTGCTTCTGACGTCACGGCGTATCCCCGGCTCTGCCATCACCGCTGGGGCGCGCTGTGTCGTCACAGGGAATCCCCTCCAGCCCCGCCTCGCGCGGTGATTGGCTGCCGTAAGCCACGCCCCTTGATCCGGAAGAGCTTTTTGGTGGGGTCAAAGCAATGGCGGCGCCCAGCGTTTGCTGAGCTGCTGTTGGATATTAAGGTCGGCGCCATGAGGCTGAGCTGGGCCCGGGCGCTTCCATTGAGGCTGTGGGGGGGCTGCGGAGGCCCGAAGATGCGGGGGGTGACCGGGATAGAGTGGGTATGTTGGGAGAGGGACGAACACCGGGGAACGTGGGGGGAGAAGGACGTGGGGAGGACATGGGAAGCAGAGGAGACGGTGGGACACGGAGCAGCGGGGCTCACGAATAGAGGAGAAAGGGATAGGGGAGGTGGGGAGGCTGTGAGGGGGCTGAGGTGGGCGTGGGGAAGAGGAATGGGAGATGGGGAGGAATGCGGGGGGGATACAGGGATGGGAGGCAGAGTGGCTATGGGGCTCACAAAGCAAGGAGAAAGGGGTAGGGAAGGTGGGGAGGCTGTGAGGGGGCTGAGGTGATGCGGTGGAAAAGGGGAATAGGAGATGTGGGGGGATGTGTATGGGAGGCATGGCAAGGAGCTAAGTGAGGAGAAGAAGGGAATTTGGCCAAGGAGGGGGGCTGTTTTCTCACCTTCATCCTGTGCCCCCTCCCCAGGCTGCTCGCCCCATGTGCCGCAGCAGCAGTGATGCCCCAGAGCCACCATCCGATCATGGCTCTCAGAACATACCACGGGATGAGGAGCAGGGAGGCCCTGCAGCCTTTGCAGCAGCATTAGAAGAGCTGGAACGGGCACCAGGCCGGCGGCTGGGACGCCTGGAGCTGGTGGCAGCAGCACTGGCAGCAATGCCAGCACTGGGGGTGGCCAGGCAGCTGGATGCTTACAACCGGCTGCTGCGTTTGCTGCCCCGTGGGCCCTGGGTGCCACGGGGGCCCCTGCATCGTCTCTTTGCTCCTTTTCCACGGCAGCAGGAGTGTGGCTTGCAGGTTCTGGAACAGATGGAGAGATACGGTGAGGGTGGCTGTGATGGTCTGTTGGGAGGTGAAAGGGGTTCCCTGTACACTCCCAGATTTTTTCTCCCTTCCCTGATGCAGGTGTGATGCCGGATGCGGAGACACGGTTCTTGCTGCTGGCCGTCTTTGGGCCCCGCAGTCGTCCTGTGCGTAAGTGTCAGCGGATGTTGTACTGGCTGCCACGGATGCTCCATGCCAATCCCTACCCACTGCCTGCTCAGTTGCCCCCTCCTGGATTGGCTGCTGCCTGCCTGGGGCTGCGCCGCATTGCCAACGACCCCGATGCCCGGCTGAGTGTCTATCAGGTGGGGGACAGATGTGTCACATAGAGGGGGCAGAGAGGGGACAAGGGGGAACATCTGGGGAGGAGATGGGAGACATGGGAGCGATGTGGGGTGGTAAGGGGGAGCATTGTGGGAAAAGGAAATGGGGAACATGAGGGGGATAGGGAATTGAATGGGAAAAATGAGGGAGATACAGGAAGGATGTGGGGTAACAAGGGAAGACGTGTGGGAGAAGGGGATGGGGGTTATGGAGGAACACAGGATTGAAAGGCTGAGTGGACACAGTGAGAACACTCCTTCTGTCTCTAAGGCCAAAATGATATCAGGATGTACTTCCCTGTCCATTTTTACAGCAGCCCCAGCCAGAGCAGGGGGACAACGAGGGCTCTACACAGCCGTACATCGTCGGTGAGTGCCAGGGAGCACTTGGGAGAATAATTTGGGTCAGGGGCACTGCAGCTCAGCCCTGCATCCCCTTCTCTACCTTGCAGGCATCCAGAGTGCAGAACAGCAGGAGCTACTGGCCCGGCATGGCCCAGAACACCCTGTCTTTGTGGAGGGACCGTTCCCACTGTGGCTGCGCAGCACCCGCCTGTTCTACTACGTGCTGAGGGGGGACCCTCTCCCCCCTCATTTGCGGGTGAGTTGTGGCATGGGGTGGGATAGGTTCCCTTTACTGGGGAAGGGAAGGAATGGGACACCCCTGTGGGACCAGACAGACCCTCCCTGTCTGCCCTATATCCCTTCAGGAACCTCCCCCTGATCCTGAGCGCAGCCTTTACTATCCCCTGTACCTTGACCTGGACCTGGAGCGTGGCCCATGGGATGATGATGAGTTCGATGTGAATGAGGGTAAGGTGTGTGTGTGTGTGTGGGGGGGGGGGGTTGACAGCCACCTGGAGACCCTTCTTGCCTTCCCCTCCTCCCTCCCTCCCCCCCTGCCTTGAGTATGCTTCCCCAACCCCTGTTCCCTCCCCACAGTGGAGGAGGGCCCTGTCTTTGCGCTGTGCATGGCAGGGACTGGTGACCAGCGCACCTTGGCCAAGTGGATCGCGGGGCTGCAGCAGACTAACCCTGTCCTTGGCCAAACACCAGTGATCTTCCGCCTGGGGGATGGGGATTCCTCTGCTGGATCCCCAGGAGACGGAGATGCATTGCATCTGGAGGGGTCAAGGGCAGCGGAGTTGGAGCCCCCCGAGGTGGCATGGGGCCGCCGAGCACAGGGAGAGGGATGAGGGGCCTGAGAGGGTTGTGGGGGGATGGGTCCAGTTTGGGTGCCTCCTCCCTGGGTTGTGGGTCAATAAATGGAGGTGGTGTGGACGGAGAGAGCTGTGTCTTGTTTGGGAAGCTCTGAGGGGAGGCTTGGTGTTAATCTATTCACCCTGGGGGCAGAGGAAGGGGCTGGGGATACAGACAGGGTAAGGGCAGGGGGAGGGCGCATGCCCGTTGCGCGCCGTGAAGGCTGCGAGGGCAGAGCCGGGCGGAGTGAGTTCGCGCCTGTGCGTTGGTTGCCGTTCCTGCGCGGGGGGCACCTTCCGGCGCACTGTGCTCACGTCATCAGCGCTGCGCCGGCGCTCACCTGGAGTTCCGGGTCCGGCATGAGCGCGGCTCAGAGGGATTCGGTCCCGGTCGGCGGGCCCTCGCGGGAGGCCGGGACCGAACCGGGTGATGCTGGAAGCCGTAAGGCACGAGGGCGGCCACGTCTGACGGAATCGGACCGGGCGAGAAGGCGGCTGGAATCGAGGAAGAAGTACGACGTGCGGAGGGTGTACCTAGGAGAGGCCCACGGGCCCTGGGTCGATCTGCGGCGGAGAAGCGGTTGGAGCGACGCTAAGTTGGCGGCCTACCTGCTGGGACTGGAGCGAGGGCAGCGCGCTGGGAGGCAGGGGTGAGCGGGATGCGGCGCTGAAAACCGCGAAGGGACAAGAAGGTTGAGGGGGGGCTGGAAATGGGGCTGGGAAGTGAGAAAGGGAATGGGTGAGTGGGGGGGAGTGGGGGGTGGGTTGGGATCCGGGATCTGGAGAAGGGCTGGGGGGGTAGCAGGGTCGTTTGTGGCTGGGTGGCTGTGAAGAGGAAAGAGAGCTGGATGTGTTGGCTGATGCTCAGCTAAATGTGAGCCAGAAGTGTGCCCAGGTAGCCAAGAGGGCCAACGGCATCCTGGCCTGCGTTAGAAATAGTGCGGCCAGCAGGAGCAGGGAGGGAATCATCCCTCTGTACTCAGCTCTGGTGAGGCCGCACCTTGAGTGTTCAGTTCAGTTTTGGGCTCTTCACTGCAAGAAAGACATTGAGGCCCTGGAACATGCCCAGAGAAGGGAAACAAAACTGGTGAGGGATCTGGAGCACAATGCAGTCTTATTGAGAGCAGCTGAGGGAGCTGGGATTGTTTAGTCTGGGGAAGAGGAGGCTCAGAGGAGACTTTATTGCTCTCTATAACTACCTGAAGGAGGTTGTGATGAGGAGGGGTTTGACGACTTCTCCCAGGCAACGAACAGGACCTGGGGAAGTGGCCACAAGTTGTACCAGAGGAGGTTTTGATTAGACATGAGGAAGAACTTTATCTCTCAGAGAGTGGTCAGGCACTGGAATGGTTGCCCAGGGAGGTGTTGGAGTCGCCATTCCTGGCAGTGTTTCAAGAGGTGTCTGGTTGAAGAGCTACAAGATCTGGTTTAGTGTTTGTGGTTGCAGTGGTGATGGAAGGACAGTTGGACAGAATGATCTTGCAGGTCCTTTCCAACCTTGTGATTCTATGATTCTTTGATTCTATAAAGGGCCCAAGCAGCCTCAAGGACCGCCCCCCACAATTGCTGGGGTCACCCATTCCTCCTCTACTCTTTTTCCCTACAGCAAGCCGTGGGAGCAGATTCCAAAAAAACCCAAACGGAAGAAAAGTGAGTGCTGTGGAGCTGGTGAGTGAGCAGGGCACCCCGAGCTGCAGGGGGACAAAAGATGCCAGCAGCTCCTTCCTGCAGGGCGAAGGCGTAACGTCAACTGCCTACGGCATGCAGTGATCTGGTATGAGGACCATCGACAACGCTGCCCCTATGAGCCCCGCCTGGCTGAGCTCGATCCCTCCGTGGGGCTCTACACTACAGCTGTGTGGCAGTGTGAGCGTGGCCACCGTTACTTCCAAGACCTGCATTCTCCCCTGAGACCTCTCAGTGATTCTGATGGGGACAGCGACGACACTGGTGCGGATGGATGAGGGGTTGAGATGGAACTGGGGCTTCAGGCAGAGGCTGGGGATGCAGGGATGTGTTTTTCTGGTGGCGGGAGGATAGAAGGGACTTTTGGGTAGGATCTGATGGGGGGGGGGCATAGGAGGTCCTGTGTGGCTTGGGATGCTTAGGGCTCACCATTGGGGTCTCTGCCATGTTCTCTTCCTACAGCAGCGGCTCCCAACAGTTCCTCCTCCTCCTCTTCCTCCTCTGGGAGCTGCAGTTCAGGCTCGGAGACAACGCAAGGGATGACGCAAGGGGCTGCCCTGTCAACGCTGGGGGGGGGCACAGCAGTATCCCCCCCTGCAGGGCCAGGCCCCCCAGTGGAAGGGCGGGTGACAGCTCTGGAGGCAGTCGTATGCGTGCCACTACCCTTTCCCTTGCGGCTGGGGGCAGGTCGAGGGGCACTGACTGAGGAGGGAACCTCCACCTTGTTGCAGGGAGGGGGCCCAGCACTACTCCAGGCTCCCCCCCTCCTCATCTTGACTGGCTCCAGCTATGAAGCTCTGGAGGGGTTGCAGTTGGATGTAAGGGGGGATGAGGTGTCCTGTGCCCTACTGCAGGGAGAAAGTGCATTCCCCTTGGACCCCCATCTCCCTAAGACAGGTATGGGGCAGGGCTTTGGGGTGTGTGGCTTGTGGCACCTTCTTTCCTCACTCCCTCTCTCTGCTGGTGGTAGAGGAAGATAAAGCACTTGCGCTGAAGCAGGAGGAGGTTCTGCCCTCTGCAGCAGCTGAACACTCTCTGGAGCCCCCTCTGGAAGCCCCTCGAGAGCCCTCCCCACCTCTGCCAGCAGAGGATGCTGACGGCAGTGACATGTCGGCCATCATCTATGAGATCCCTAAAGAACCTGAGAAGTTGGTGGCAGTGGGGGCCGGGGTTCCTTGGGGTTCTTGGGGGTCCTTAGGGGGAATATCTGGGGTGCAGGAGAGGGTTTTCTTCAGAGAGGCCCTGGGGATCTGGAGAAGGAGAGTGAGGGTGGGGGGGGGGTGGCTATAGGAGGGCTATAAGGGTTATGTGAGGGCTGGGAGTGCAGTGTTATGGCTACAGAGAGTTGGGCTTTTCTTGGTCTGTGGGAGCTCCTTGGGGAATCTTTGTAGAAGATTTTGGGTGTTCTTTGGAGTCTCGGGGAATTCAGTGGATGGGAGCTGGAGGTTTTTTGCAGACATTGACTGATTTTCTTGGGTGGGGGAGTTGGGGTTCAGCGTATTCTTGCAGGAAGTAGTCAGACTCCTTATGGTTCATAGGGGCAGTTAGGGCTCAGGGGGTTCTGCAGGCAATCTGGAGGATTTGGATGGGGGTCCTCAAAACTGCAACCCCTGGGATGGGATGCTCACCTCAAACCACAGCTTCGGGCACCCCCTGCAGGCGACGACGCAGCCGCCGGGGCCGTGCACCCAACTCTGAGGGGCTTTCAGATCCCATCCCCTGCCCCTATGCAGGCTGTGGACAGGTCTATGTGGCTCTCAGCAGCTTCCAGGTACGAGTGTCTGCTTTGTCCTCCATTCCAACCCCCCCCCCCCCCCCCCCCCCCCCCACCTTGCAAGCTCTGTGCTCCTTTCACTGCTTTGCCTTCTGCTCACCCAACAGAATCACATCAACCTGGTGCACCGCAAGGCTCGGACTCGGCAGTGCCCCCAGCCTGGCTGTGGAAAGAAGTTTTCCTTGGCCAACCATCTACGCCGACACATGCTCATCCACTCTGGTGAGCCTCCCACCTTGCTTTGGACCCCCCTCTTCTCTGGGCTCTCAGGACCCCCCCAGTCTCACAATCCTTATTTCCAGGCATGCGGGAATTCATCTGTGAGAGCTGTGGGAAATCTTTCAAGCGTAAAAACCACTTGGAGGTGCACAGGCGGATGCACACAGGGGAGACCCCTCTTCAGTAAGTGATAGAGGGGAGGAGAGAGCAGCTGTGAGCCATCCTGTGGGCTCCGCCAATTCCCTCCCCGTGCCATTTTATCCTCCCCCCCTGCAGGTGTGAAATCTGTGGGTATCGATGTCGTCAGCGTGCCTCCCTCACCTGGCACATGCGTAGGCATGGGGGGGGGAAGGCCAGCAACACAGCCCTGCCCTTGTGAGCACTGCAGGAAGCACTGCAAGCGACTGGATGGCCTCAAGTGCCACACGCTCAACCCTGAGCCTCAGGGCACGTAGCTGTTGGGGGACTGCGAGTAGCCCCAAACCTGTTCCCCCTTCAGGTTAAGGGGAGTGGGGGGTGTTGCATTAATTTTTGCCCCCAGAAGGAGTGTAAGCACTACAGCAGACGGAGGGGAAGGAATTAACTCTGAGTGTCCCCGTCCCCACCCCAATGCACAATGGGGATGTCTAACCCCTTGTCTGCCCCTAGCACTGAAAAAGGATTCTGACCCCTCCTGACTTCCTCCCCACTGATCTCCCCTTGCCCCACGTCCCCTCAGCCTTACTTTATTTATTTCCCAAATTTTTGTCCTCTGTTCCATAGGCTACCTGGGTCCAGAAAGTGGGTTAGGAGATGGGGGTGGGCAACTGGTACCCCACTTTTAATGTGGGGAGCAGGTCTGGCCTCTTCTTCCTTACCTCCCCTCCCCCTCACCCCTCTTATTAAAAATGATGACTTTTAATTCCTGCTTTTTTCTCCTTTTCCGGGACAGGGGTTCAGAACCCCTTCCCCCCCTCCCCCCCAATTCGCACCCAGTAAGGGGGGGAGGGGAGGAAGGAGGGCTCTGTCCGCGTGCTGGAAGCGCGGTTCGGAGCTGTCCATGGTGCTGAAAGCTGCA